GTTCCCGCGGCTCCTGGCACGGTACCCACCTGAGGAAGACCTCCTCCATCGTGGTGACAGAGGCACCATAGCTAGCGATCCCCAGCTCCTCTCGCTTCTGCTCCAGCTCCGTGAACAGCGCCTCGAACCTGGGGCACGACACAGCCATGTAACCAGCGGCAGCGATGGAGGGCCCCGCGGCGGCGGTTACCTGTGCGTGCTCTCCCGCGGCTCCTGGCACGGTACCCACCTGAGGAAGACCTCCTCCATCGTGGTGACAGAGGCACCATAGCTAGCGATCCCCAGCTCCTCTCGCTTCTGCTCCAGCTCCGTGAACAGCGCCTCGAACCTGGGGCACGACACAGCCATGTAACCAGCGGCAGCGATGGAGGGCCCCGCGGCGGCGGTTACCTGTGCGTGCTCTCCGTGGGCAGGATGAAGGACAGCTCTGCCCCCGCGTTGCTCTCCAGGGTGGCATTGGGCACGTACTGACAAACGAGCCGGGAGATCTCCCCAAGGTTACAGTGCGGCTCCTTCACCATCACCATGTGGTAGCCGGCCCCTGGAGGAGACGACCGGTCACAAAGGGAACTCCACCCCAGGCAGACCTAGGCTCTGGCTGCTGGGAGCCGACCAGGCCTCGTGCAGCATGACACGGATCTGTGCCACCCACCGCGGGCCCCACAACAGCGCCCGGAGGCTCTCGCTGCGCCCCTCGGCGGGGGGGGACCACAGGAGGGGAAACCCCCCCAGCCTCGGGGGGTCTGCAGTCTGGGAACGGGCACCCGGGCCAGCCCTATGGCCCGTCCAGCCCAGACTGGCGCCTCAGAGGGAGCAAAGGGAACAGGACAATCCGCGACCGACCCAGCCCATCCGCCAGGCTCAGCTCCAGCAGTCAGAGGGTTTGGGACACGTGGGGTCCTGTCCTTGGCTAACAGCCCTCCAGGGACCGACCCTGCCTGGCCTGACCCACGGTCTCGGCGTGGGGAGTGAGGGCAGACGGGGGCCTTGGGTTTCCTTGTTTGCCCCACCGCCTTCCACCCTTGGATTCCTCCTCCCCAGACACAGCGCTCCAGGGTGGACGTAGCCCCCAGCACGACACAGGCCTACCCACCGCAGCACCCACCCTGCCCGGGCCCCGCTCGCAGGGGACTGGGCCCAGCTCCCCGCCCCCCCATCCCTGCCATCAGGCTGACAGGCAGCTGGGCCAATCCGAGCGAGTCTGTTGGGACCTGGCGAAGGGGGGAGCAGGGCCACGTGGGTTCCGCCCGGGAGCTCGTCTGCCACACCGGAGGCAGCAGACAGGCCCACGCCGGGGAGGGGGAGGGGGAGCCGGGACAAATGTAAGCTAACCTGGTGTTCCCTCCCACACAGTTTGCGAGGGTGGGGCAGGCCACAAGGCACCACCACGAGGCCTGGCGTTCTCCCCCCCACGTGTGGGGGGGGGCTGGGCGAGCCGGAAGGCGCCGCCACGAGGCCTGGCGGTCCCTCCCGTGGGCGCGTGGGGGGCGGGGCGAGCCACAAGGCACCGCCACGAGGCCTGACGTTCCCTCCCCTCGGCGCGGGGGGGGCGGGGGGAGCCACAAGGCACCACCACGAGGCCTGGCGTTCTCCCCCCCACGTGTGGGGGGGGGCTGGGCGAGCCGGAAGGCGCCGCCACGAGGCCTGGCGGTCCCTCCCGTGGGCGCGTGGGGGGCGGGGCGAGCCACAAGGCACCGCCACGAGGCCTGACGTTCCCTCCCCTCGGCGCGGGGGGGGCGGGGGGAGCCACAAGGCACCACCACGAGGCCTGGCGTTCTCCCCCCCACGTGTGGGGGGGGGCTGGGCGAGCCGGAAGGCGCCGCCACGAGGCCTGGCGGTCCCTCCCGTGGGCGCGTGGGGGGCGGGGCGAGCCACAAGGCACCGCCACGAGGCCTGACGTTCCCTCCCCTCGGCGCGGGGGGGGCGGGGGGAGCCACAAGGCACCACCACGAGGCCTGGCGTTCTCCCCCCCACGTGTGGGGGGGGGCTGGGCGAGCCGGAAGGCGCCGCCACGAGGCCTGGCGGTCCCTCCCGTGGGCGCGTGGGGGGCGGGGCGAGCCACAAGGCACCGCCACGAGGCCTGACGTTCCCTCCCCTCGGCGCGGGGGGGGCGGGGGGAGCCACAAGGCACCACCACGAGGCCTGGCGTTCTCCCCCCCACGTGTGGGGGGGGGCTGGGCGAGCCGGAAGGCGCCGCCACGAGGCCTGGCGGTCCCTCCCGTGGGCGCGTGGGGGGCGGGGCGAGCCACAAGGCACCGCCACGAGGCCTGACGTTCCCTCCCCTCGGCGCGGGGGGGGCGGGGGGAGCCACAAGGCACCACCACGAGGCCTGGCGTTCTCCCCCCCACGTGTGGGGGGGGGCTGGGCGAGCCGGAAGGCGCCGCCACGAGGCCTGGCGGTCCCTCCCGTGGGCGCGGGGGCGTGGTGTTCCCGGCCGTACCGTATTTGTGCTTGAGGAAGAGCGAGGAGCCGCAGCACTGCAGCTCGCCCTGCGCCATGATGGCGATGCGGTCGCCCAGCAGGTCCGCCTCGTCCATGAAGTGGGTGGTCAGCAGGATGGTTCGGCTGCTCCGCTGCTGCTGGAGCAGGTCCCAGGTGGCCCTGCGGGAGGCTGGGTCCATCCCCGACGTCGGCTCGTCCAGCATCACCACCTGCGTGCAGGGACGGGACCATCAGCCGCCACCAGACGGACAGTGCACACGCGTGGACGGGCCGTGGGACAGGGACTCAACCCAGCAGGGAGCACGGGGAGCAGGCAGGAGGAGCTGGCTGGTCTCGCACACGGGCTACATTGGGACTTAATGGGCAGCAGGGAGGTGGAGGGCGCAGGCTGGCACAGGTAGGTACGAAGGGAGTAGGTGTTGGCCTTATGCATCAAGAACCCAGATGCTTGTCCCGAGGGCGGGGGAGGGCAGAGGCAGCCCACTGGGATAAAGGGGTAACGAAGAGGGGTGACGTCACAGCAAGGGTCTACCTGGAGCAGCAAAGCAGGGAGAGGAGGTGGGGGAGGCAGTCCCAGGACTAACAGACCTGCCCAGAGCCCACGCCCTGGTAGCAACAGGGCACTGGAACCCCCGGACCTAAGGCTTGTCTGTGAGCACGGGAGAGATCGGGCCAGGCAGACAGCCACGCGAGCCTCGGCTCTGAGCAGCAGGGCTACGACTCTGGAGGGGGGAGGCCATTCGGGGGAAAGCAATTCACGATCTCAGGAAAGGGCAGAGAGAATCAGCAGAACACAGACGGTGACCGGGAGCGGGCAGGCCAGGCCCACGGGAGGGAAGTCTCAGGGATAAGAGTCCAGGGCAGCTGCCCTGGTGCAAGAAGGAAGCCGAGTCGGAGGCCGGCCGGGCCGTGCCAGGCGCTCTGTGGCGATCAGAAAGGAACCCTACAGAAAGTGGAGCGAGGGGAATTGCTAGAGGGCAGAAGAGCAGCACCAGCATGTCAGGGCCAGACCGCAACAGCCTGGCACAAAACAAGCTACCTCGAGCAAGGGACGGGCCTCGTCAAAGAGAGGAAGAGGCAGGAAAGTGCAGGCCCCTGCTCCCGGGAAGGGGTGCGAACAGACAGCCACAAGGAGGACGAGGGGTTAACGCCCGTTTTGCTTCAGTCCAGATGCTCCACACAGTTGATATTAACACGAGTGGGAGGGACCGCGGGCCAAGCCAGGCAAGGGACCTTCGCACGCGTTAGGTGTCTGCATGTCCGCAGGGCCTGATGAAATTCATCGCAGCAGGCCCCTGCTCCCGGGAAGGGGTGCGAACAGACAGCCACAAGGAGGACGAGGGGTTAACGCCCGTTTTGCTTCAGTCCAGATGCTCCACACAGTTGATATTAACACGAGTGGGAGGGACCGCGGGCCAAGCCAGGCAAGGGACCTTCGCACGCGTTAGGTGTCTGCATGTCCGCAGGGCCTGATGAAATTCATCGCAGGGCACCGACGGCTAAACAGGCCTGTCAATCGGGGAGGGCGGATGCAGTGGGGTCCTGCAGGGGGCAGTGCCAGGTCTGGGGCTAGTCGACATTTCACTATGACTTGGATACCGGAGTGGAGAGGCTGCCTGTCAAACCTGCAATGACTCCACGCGGGGAGGGGCTGCAAGCACTCGGAGGCCCGCATTCAATTCAAAGGCCACCGGGGCAGTGAGATGAAATTCAGGACAGACAAGAGCAAGTTATTGCAGGAGGAAAGGGAAAGGCAGCGCCCCACTAACCGCGGGGAAGCGGCAGAGGGAAGGGGGGGTACAGCGGATGAGAGACCGGCCAGTAGCCCTCTGGGCGGCACGAACACAAGCGCCGCAGGGCAGGCTGCGGAAGGAGCTGCCCCGTTCCACTGGCGCTGCGGAGGTCTCCGCGGGAGAGGCCCAGAGGAGAGCAACGGAGCGAAAAGAGGGGCCCAAACCTGCCCTGGGAGGGAGGGTTACACAAACTGGGCTCGTTGAGCGGAGCGGGACAGGGCCCGGCCTGCCCCGAGGAGGCCAGTGACCCCTTAGTCCCCACAGCCACAGAGAGGTGCCGCAGGGGCCGGCACAGGGAAACGCTTCCTCGCCTAAGGGGGGCTAAGCTTTGGCGCAGGCCTCCCCGGGAGGCTGCGGGATCCCTGGCACTGCGGCTGGACAGACACCCCCCGAGAGGTCTCGGTTTCCTAGGCCCCGCCTTGGTGCCCTCCCGAGGCCTGTCCAGTCCTACACGCCTCTGGCTCTGGGGCAGGCAGGGGGCCAGCGGGCGGGGGCCGAGCCCAGGTCAGTGCCAGCGTGAAGTCAGCA